TAGCGTTAACGAAGATTCTTATAACGAAGTCCTGATCGGCTGGATCAGCAACTTCGTTATATCGAGATGTGACTGTATGTTTTTTTGTATAATTTTTTTTTTATTTGAAAAATGTCTGCATAATTTTGATTAGCATCTGTATAATATAAATATTCATATTTATAAATAAGTAAATATCCTTTAATTTCTAGATTCTAAAATATTTTTATTTTAAATAAATTTATTTTAAATTTAAAATCTTTTTCTTTTAAATAAATAATATATAAAAAATATTACTATTTTAATATAATATAAATATAAATTTACTTTTTTTAAAATTTTTTTATAATATTTAAATAATCAGAATTCTCTATAGAATTATTATATTGAGAATAGAACTAACCATTTTACTTATACAAAACTGTTTTAACCATTTTTGTTTAATATCAAATAATAATTCTGATCAGTATTATAAATCTAATTTAAATTACCATTTGGTCATATAACTGTTCAGTATATAAAATATATAATTAATATAAGTAGACTAGTTAAATTGAGTTCAGATATAGTATATAATATTTTATTATAGAATTTCGTTATATTTAATATAATTAATTATAAAAAATTTGTTTTAAAGATTTTAGTTTGATATAATAAATTTTCAATACAAATAGGTTTAATATAACCAGTAATAACTGTACTATTTATAAGAATATAAAAAATATTTTAAAATAAAAATAAAATTTTAAATATACTAAAACTCAATATAATGAATTTAATGTCTAGACTAATCAGATTTTCATTATAAAAAAATTCATTAACTATAATGAATACTTCATTATAATAAAACTCATTTAATTAGACTAATTAAAATAATCTAAACAATATGTTAAAAAGTTTTTATTGCTTCTTTTATTAATATTTTTTTATTTTTTTTTCTTTCTCTTCCCCCCTTTTCCCTCCTTCTCTTCCTATTTTTTTTTAATTTTATTTTTTTTTTTTAATCTTTTTTTTATTTATTATTATTTATTATTTTTTTTTTATTTTTCTCTTTCTTTATAGTTTTTTCACTTTTTTTTATTTTTATTTTATTTTTTTTTAATTTATTTCAATATATATATATGTTGTGCCTCAGATTGATTCTTGCTTTAGATTATAATTGACGCATCTTAGATTATAATTATTAGGTAAGATGCGTAATTTGAATCAATAATCATCTGAAATACTGCAGCTATAATCTGAGGCAATCTAGTCAATTATAGTAAATGCATATTTAGTCAATCATAAAAAAAATTTATTTTTATGAAAATAAAGTATTAAAAATTTTTTTTAAAAACTTTTATTTTTATTTATTAAAAACAAAATTATAATTATTTTTAAAAAACAAAAAAAAACAAGATCTTTAATATAATAAAATATAAAAAATATAATTTTATAATTATAAAATAAATTTTAATTAATAAAATCATTATGTGCAAAAAACATAAAAAATATAAAAAAGAATTGTAAATTTTCTATTTTATTCAATTGTTTTTATATTAAGCTTTAACATTTTGCAAATTAAATTTTACTTAAATATAAAATGATATACAATTATGTGACTTTCTATTATTTTTTAGTTCAGAAATAAAGTAACCATTTAGCTATAATCTTTATTTTAACATGAACGTTTGCTATAACATCTACTTTCACATTTTTCACCTAATTTTTTACAATGATATTTGTTATTATTACAATTACTTTTATAGTTACATAAGCCTTCTGATATTGATCTAACACTTTAAAGTTGTGAAGCTTCTTTTATTAATATTTTATCAGAAGGAATATTTTCTAGTTTAGAAAAAAATGTTGTTCTAAGTAGTTCTAACTTATCAGCAGAATAACAGACTTTAATTATTTCAAACTTTAATCTAACTTAATATTTATCTTCAATTTTTTTCATAATTCTACATGAAACAGTAGAATGATCAATATTAAATCTATCAATTTTAGAAATAGCTACTCTTACAAGATCTCTAATCTGATATTTTATAATTCATTTTTTCTTTTTATTTATTTGGTTTATCATTTTATTTCTATAATCCTTAAAATCTTAACAAGCAGTTCTTCTCAAAATTTCATATCCTATAATTGTAGCTAATGTTGTAATTTTATTTGTAATATCAAAAAGAATAAGATCAATAATGCGATGATAAAAATCTAAAATGTAATTATAATTAAATAATTAGTTAATAAAAAAAAGTATACTTTGTTTAATTATAATATCAATGTTTGTAATACTAATAGTAAATAAAATAATAAAATTTAAGTATAACAATAAATAAAAATAAAGTATTTATAAATACCTATTAATGTTATAACTGGTATCGCTAATACTGGTACTGACAATACTACTAGTACTAGTTATGCTGATAGTACTAAAGATACTGATAATACTACTAGTACTGATTGTGCTAGTTATACTGACTGTACTGGTTGTACTGATGGTGCTAATGATACTAATGGTACTGATAATGCTATTAGTACTAATAATTCTAATAATATTAATAATATTAACGATTTCTGATGATGCTAATAATACTAATAGTGCTAATAGTACTATTAGTACTAATAATGCTAATAGTACTAATGATACTAAAAAATCAAAAAAAATAATAAATTAAATTAAAATTATTAATTTTAAAATATTTTTGCTTTATTCAATAATAATAGATAATAAATAAATCTAACCTTATCCAAATACTATATCATAATCTAAATTTTCAATATAATTATTAAATATTTGTATAATATCTAAAATATTTTCTTCATCGTGAATACTGATTTCAAATAAATTATTAACTAATATATAATTAATACGTAGTTTAGATCTATAAATAAGTTTATATAAAGTTTTTTATGAGATTAATACCATGAATTATTTATAGCTAAAATAATAAATTTAAGACTAAAAGACTAATCATTTCATCTAGTATCCTCTTTTTACTTTCTCAATTTTTGTTGTAAAATTCTATTAATGTGTTTAACTAGATCTTGAGATTGTAGATATTGAAAACGTCTATTTATAATCTTTACTAATGTCATAATTTAATTAATTCCTTAATTACTTCTGTACAGAATTCCTTACCATTGTCTAATTGTGATATAGTTAGAGAAGATCCTATAAAATAAAAAAGATTGAAAAGATATGCAGCAACTTCAACTGCTCTTTTTGAAGTGAGAGTCTTAGCCTATAAAAAATCTTGTACAGTAGCGGTCATAAGTATCCGACTGCTCAAGATCGTCCAAAATTATTATATAACTACCCTTAAATTTTCCAGAAATATAATGTAACACAATACATGATCACCTGTA